TTTACTCATGTATATGTTTAATCAAATGTATTCATTCGATTAGAATATAATCATTTAATAGAATGTACATGCTGCTCTTTTCCATATAATAAAAAGTGAATGGTGACCAGGGTCTGTCAAGGTCCAAAAATGACCAAAAACCATATGATTTATGCACTATTGTCAAAGTTTTCTTAAGGCTAGAATACACTACACGACTTTTGCACCGATCTTTGCCCCAATTTACAGTCTGGAGGAACTGACACTAGTAGCCAAAAGTTACAGCCAGTCTAGATTTTTGGCAGTCAGAGTTGACATATTTCACATAAAACTGTGGGACACAGACTTAAAGACTGGATGATTATGAATTCATCCAGTCAGAGGACATTAAACACTAGACATTTTGATGATTTTCAGAACACATATTGGTTTCATTTTTCATGTTTCAGCATGAGTGTGTGTGTTCGGAACGATATGAAAGTCTACTAGTGAGTGATCCTCAGTCATTAAGTGTATGATGCACAGTTTTTCCCTTTGTAACCAAAGTCAACAAGTATATGATGTCTATAGTGTTTTGAAATCTGTTCAGATTTTAAAACTTGTATAAGTGTATGTATTACAGCCTTTAAGCAATAAGATATTTTAATCAAAATTATTTTCTAATCACACTTTTTCCTGATTTATTCACTTAATTTTAAGTATTTCCTAACACAACCCTATTGTATGACTTAAGGAGACAAGTCATAAACTATGCTACTTTTGGAGTCGCCACTGATTTTGATTGTATGGAGAAAAAAAAGCAGCATGAACATTCTACTAAAGAGCTTATATTGTGTTCTATGGAAGAAAGAAAGACATAGGTTTGGAATGCTATAAGGGTGATCACAAGATAACGTATAATTTTGGGTGAACTATTCCTTTAAAAACACACTCCCTGAAAAGTCAAATTCTCATAATCACATGCAGCGATACACAACACCCACTGGCCTATTTTAAAATATCACATTTCAAAAATATTCAAATTTTGCAACATGAGGAAGTAACAGTCACCATTTCCCATTCTGCACAGATGTACGGCCCTGGACGCAGGATGACTAACAGCCCTGTCTGATTGGCCAGGTTCAAGAAGTACTCAAGATCTCTGTCTCCTGCAAAGTTGAACACCCCCTGCACAGTCTCATGGAAGTTCCATGGCACATACCTGCATGAAAGCAAACAAAATATTTTTGGCAAGATGTGTAACATAAGTGTGTACACAGGGTTTGCACTGTTTCTCTGTTCCACGTACACCTGAATAGCATTGAGTCCAGTCATGTACATCTTGAGCAACCTGTCCTTCCAATATTCCCGAGGAATGCGGGAGTAGTGGATGCTTCCTGAGATGTACTGAAATGGTTTTCCATCCTTTTGGAAGCAGTTGTTCTTGTAGTCGATGGAAAATGAGCGCGAATCTGCCTTAAAACAGAAATGTCATGTAGTTAAAAATGTGCAGGGTGTCGTGGGTGCATAAGAATCCACAAACTCTATTAACTATTCTCATTTTGATAGAGATTGCATTTACAATGAGCATAATTACAAAATAACAATAATAATAAAAATCCAAATTCACTATATACTTCTTAATTACTTTACCAGACTTAAAATCACACTTTTAAAAATGTCCTGATATTTCAAAGTTTCTATGACCATGGGAACCCAAGTATATAAATACAGTGTCGGGTTGGTAAAAACTAAATAATCACAATGTGTAGAGGTGAAAGTCGTGTACTTTAAATCAGATACTTACCAACACAAAAATTATTGCAAACAAGCACAGACTTAATAAAACGAAAGTCATTTGTGACTTCATCTCTAAATCAAACGGATAAGACGCAGTAACACTCTTCCGTTTGACATTATGATAGCAGCGCGTGACTGTAACGTGTCAGGAAATAATATTACAACTGCACAAACTGTTCTGTTATGTCATTTTGCATAAAGCGGTCCACTTTCTCTGTTCAATAGGTTTGCTGCGTTTCTTCTCTTTGAACATGACGGTCATGTGATTGTATTCTGTTTAGCCATGGGTCCTAAAGTCCGCCTGAACAGATCGACGATTCAGTGACCCCTTTTCATCAGCAATAAACCAGATTGTTAACTTGTTTTACTGTTTACTGTTACTGTTTTGCACTGCTAGTGAAGTGTATTAAAAATAAATAAATTATATGGCTAAACAGATGGACGAACCTATGCAATATAGCCAGAAATGCACACCTGTAACAAAACAGTAGCTCAGTGAACAAAACTTGTTGGAAGAGTTGTTTATTATAATTAATATTTTAAATAAATGTAATATCATATTGCTGTTGCTGCCCGTTCCTAAAAGCCATACAGTTTTTCTGTTGTGCCAAAAACAGACCAGCCTGACCAGACTGGGTCTGACACCAGCTAAGATCATCAGTTTAGGCTGGTTTAGTCTTTTTTGCAGCTGGGATAGCTTTAAGTTTTGTTTAATCATGTATGTTAGTTTGCTCGGATGAAGGGTCTAATTTCAAGTTATAACTTCAGACCAGAGTCAGTTTAGTTAGGTTCTCACCCACCAGGCTGGGGCCCACTGGGGCCTCAGCAAACTTCTAACGGGGCATAAAACTAAAATGTTTTTTCCCCTCCTCAATAACTCTTTTGTTTATTAGGGAACATCCATAATTAGAATCTTGAATCTCCTAAAATCACAAAATTAATTATTATTAAATATTTTATTATGTTAACACTGCCTATTTCTGTTAATAAAAAAGTTTGGAATCAAGTATAATTGTCACATGAACGGCAGAAAAAAACAGGCCTTCACAATTTTGTTGGACAAAAGAGGGCCTATCATATCAAAAAGGTTGACGACCAGTGTTTTAATTACCATGTTGTGTTTTTTTAATTTTTGTTTTTACAAACAATAAAAGCATCTCAGGACTGAGCTTCTTAGATAATAAATTACCTTGGATGTACACTTTTGATTGTACATAGTTAAATGTCTTATAAACAGAGCTTCAATGGTTCGCCTCAGACACTCAGAGGCGCTACAGGATAGAAGACTGATGTTGCATTCGCTCATGTGCTCTTTAGCGCCCTCTAATGAGAGCCTGCGGACTCTAAACTTCCTATAGTCAGCAATCCCACATTTATGTTCTGTGAAATCTATCTCAAATGTAATACTAATGCTAATTTATGTTGTATATGTGGTGTTAGCACGTTATCAATGTAACTGTCACTAGAGTGACTTCTCCAGTGAATGGAAAAAAGGTTTCCATAGATTATACATACAAATGCAGCATAAATAAGATTTAGCCTACTCAGTTCAATATAAAGAGAAATGTATCCTTTATAACAACATTTGTCTGCACCAGGTAAATGTGTATTTCCTTCTGCCGCTTTAATGGGAGCAGGTGGGCTGGTGAAGTGACTTGTCACCAATTTTCACTTGTGCTGCATGATTGTGAATGTTTACTGCTGGTCCAGACACTCAAATAAACAGTGACTGATCCAATGGTGTTGTTGACACATACACCACACCACAGCCATTGTTTGACACCATCTGCTGAACACCATAAAGAGATACACTGCATAGAATGTGGGAGAATTCAAAGACAATGCATAGAGTTTGTACTTGAAGGCAGATGCTGTCATTTAAAATAGCTTTACGGATTGCTCCCACGTTCCCATAAAGTGTGTACTGGAGGGTAAACGACCCCATGTGTGAGAAGAGCAAGTCTCTTTGGCTTTAAAAGGCATTCCTTTGAAAACCAAGCCTAATGCTGTTAGGCAGTAATGCAGTCATTATCCAGCTGAGCTGAGTAAGCAAACACACATATCTTCTGTGTTACCTTAACGCACAACACACACACTCAGTCTGAACAGGGAACACTTATGTTTTCATGTGTTAAGATATTCGTCACTTAGTTTAATTAGTGACTGATTGATTTTATACATAATCTAAACTGTGAGTAGATGTACATGCATGAATTGTACTCACTACATACATAGGAATATTCCAATATTAACCAGAATATAGTCATGTTCCAATTACATAAATGTAAATGTAAATACATACCTGACTGCCATTATCAGATTAAGCAAATATTCCAGATTCTAGAACTCCGAAGACAGCTGTCAAATGTGACTCTGGACCACAAAACCAGTCATAAGGGTACATTTTTTGAAACTGAGATTTATACATCATCTGAAAGCTGAATAAATTAGTTTCCATTGATGTATGGTTTGTTAGGATAATATAGACATATAATATAATATTAGACAATATTTGGCCAAGATACAACTATTTGAAAATCTGGAATCTGAGGGTGCAAAATAATCAAAATATTGAGAAAATCGCCTTTAAAGTTGTCCAAATTAAGTTCTTAGCCATGTGTATTACTAATCAATAATTAAGTTTTGATATATTCACGGTAGGAAATTTACAAAATATCTTAATGGAACATGATCTTTACTTAATATCCTAATGATTTTGGCATAAAAGAAAAATCGATAATTTTGACCCATACAATGTATTGTTGGCTATTACTACAAAAACACCTGTGCTACTTATGACAGATTTTGTGGTCCAGGGTCACATATGTCTGTATTAATCAGAATTTGGGTTTGTGTAAGACCTTATTCTGGATATCTACTTTAGCTGAACATGTATTTATATCTGCAAATGAAGGTAATTCTGTGTGACATAAAATAATTGGCATGTATTTGTTTATTTGGATTATGCTGCCTTGTGAAAAAGAAGTACACTTTAGCACACTTTTAGTACTTATTACAGAAAACTTACAATTTTCTCAAGTGTGAACTGAATGCATTGTTTTCAGGCACTTATTTGCATGTTATTTGTAATTAAATGAACATTTATTGTAGTTGAAATTTATATTAAAAGATATGAGATGATGTTTGGAGTGCATTTTGACCCACTAAAGTTTCATAATTTCATTGTTTCTGAAATATGGTTAAAGTGCAGAATGTACTGACAAGCAATTATGGTGAATTAAAATATACTTTAATGTCATTTTTATTGAAACGTGTATGTCATGTATTTAAATATGTGTAATTACACATTTGTAATGCTGAGGCTGCATTAATGTAATATCAAATAACAAACAGTGATTGAATTTGCAGCATAATGATGACACTTATCACACATCTTCTAAATTAACAATAATCTATATCTTAACTTTGTTGGGTGTTAAGGTTGCCACATTTGCAGCATTTAGTTTGGTAAGATGATACTCAGTTTTGACAGTTCTATCTTCAGAAGGGGACTATTAGCTCTCTGTAGGGAAAGCATCCCTCAGGCACTAATTAAACCAACCAGTACTCACCTCCCTTCACTTGCATCTAAATAAACTTATTATTTATTAATACTTTTAGTGCATATGACAGACTGGGAGAGGCTGAGATCACATTCTCTGTGTGTCATTATGGCTCTGTTTGTCTAAGCAGTGTTGATTAATGTGTAGAGCATAAATGAGTCAGTCTCTGAGGTCTTGTGAGATGATTTGGCCGTGAGTCAGGTCCTCTCTCTGTCAGGATACAGAAATATATATCCTGTAAAGGGGTACATGGTAATCCTAGTAATTAGGATGGCTTTGGATTAATACAATTAATGCTGGGTTTGTAACTTTATTATTGTGGCCTAAATAACTGAACTATGGTCTTTTGTATTTTTTAAACCTGGGTCAAAATGTGTGCTTTCGCTTCCAATACAAACTTCAGCCTCAATAATTATATTCTGAAAAAAAAAAAAAACAAGTCTTTTCAGAATCCACTTTTGCTTTGGGAATAAACCAAAATGCTCTCTCGCAGGGGAGGTCAATTTTTCAAATATTGAAAAAGATTTGCCTTGAAGATTACAGGAAGTGTTTCAATGAATATCTGTAAACACTTTGAACATTGATGACAAGTCATTTTTGCCTATTTTTGCGACAAATCAACACGCTGCGTAAACATGTCACTAAAGGGCCATAGTATTTTGATTCATGTTCTTTTCTTTGTTGATCCTTGTTTCTTTTGCTCAGTTTGTGTCCATACATTCACACAAAGCACTCCTTTAATTACTCGCTATTTATAATGTGTGTCACAACTGTATTTCCAGGGCTTTTCCGGAAAAGACCTCTCTTTATTTGAGGATTTGCTTGAGTCAGAGCTCTCCTGAATGTTCAGACAGGCCGTCTATGGTGATATGCTTCAGATGAGACTCCACCTGTTTTGTTTGTGAAAACAGTAAACTCATCTTATGTAATAGTTTATCTTATTCTTTGGAAAATATATATTCCTGGCTATTTTATTTGTCTTGAGAATACACAATTACTATTTTTGTAATAAACTGTTCGTAAAAAATTTAGATGTTATACATCTAGTTTAACATTTCTAAAATGTAATAATGAATTACAGTTTTGTTGTTTACAGATTAACACAACTATTTCCTTTTTGAGGAAAAAAAGCAATTTTAAAACTTCAAATTGTGAAATGTCAGCTCTGATTACTTATTCTATTCTGACTATGTTCTTTACAACATAAACCAAATATTTCCATCCTGACTCCCTGAGAGAATCATGTCAGCGACCACCAGCAGTCTTGGGAATCGTAAAATCATCAACCGCCTGACCAGACAAACTCCTCCAGATTTCTCAACAGTGAACATTTTTGCCATTTTAGTGACCAAAGTTAATAGGACCTGATGAATCACATATATCTTCACCATGTGGCATCAGTTTTACACACGGCATGTGCCATGGATCATGTTACACTGCATTAACACATCGATAAATGTCTCTAAATTCCTCCCATTGACTATTTAAGGTCATCTTTCCTGTGACTACACAAAATTGAAGGGATTAATTTTTAACCCTGATATCTGGGTGCTCAGTAGATTCCCATAATGAGTCATAAGTTTTGCATGTTGAAAATGTTTGTGTCTAACCGTTTGCTTGTTTTGAAGAATGAGGAATGATATGCTACTATATTCCACAATATAGTCCCTCCAGATGCTTC